TCGTGTCTCGATTCAGAAATCGTTTATTTGAGGTCAAATTGTTAAAGGAGGACCGTACCATGCTTAATGTTTTCGAATTATACTGTCCTCCCCTAACCCGTACATTGGCATCGTGTTCACCTCTTTCAGCACTGCTGGTCGACACTCTATGAATTTGAAAATATCGACGCTGGTGACCGCAGCTTGTGTTCGAAAACGCAGCAAGGTGCGATGCGAAGTTCTCAAAAGGTAACTACGGAAGCCATAATCTGCAGCCCTAGTCTCGAATATGTGACTGGTTTCTGTCAGAAACATCTGAACGATAGATACAGGTGTTTGACTCCAGATTCGTTAGCATTTGTGACGCGAGCTGCATAGAGAAACACATTACGCCTAACCGTGCAGGCCGGCAGGCAGTGAAAAATATCCAGAAACGGGCGTATATGTGTTTATGAGAAGCAAAATCAGATAGGTTAAGCGCGAGTCTCTTCTGTAATGAGCCGCCGCAATACCGTGTTTTGTACGCAGCGCCTCTAAGCGTGCTCTTGGCACGTCATCCCAAAAAGATAGCAACTGAGAAAAAGTTAGCAGGCTGCCAAGAAACTCCAAGCGTTTAATTACTCCTAATTGCAAGAAAAAACTCGAAGCTCATAGACTCCATCCTAGTTTAATCTTCTCGAAGAAGGTAGTTGAAGAAGAGCGCGCTGGAAGCAAATGCTTGTGATTATTTGCAAGTCGCGTTTATAAAGTGCAGCCTATGATAACCGGTGCTAGTCTCCACCTTTCACGATGACTGCTTGGACTGGATCGAACATATCCAAACTGACGTGGGTTTAATGTCGCTTTTCGAAGAGCTTCCAGTAGAGTGTCGAGCATCCCGACAATAGTTCCCTATATGTTTTTGAAAAAAGCTGCGCGCCGGGGCTCACAATCTCCCCCTAATGTAATGATTCAACAGGCCTACTGCTCCACGGAAAATTTCCTAAACACTATGGAAAATGTTGGTCTTGTGCGACCAATATTTAATAGAAGGGTTTCTAAAGACTGCGTATCGAACTATAGGCCCGATATGTCTAACCAGCTCAATCAGGCAAGGTATGGGCGCATCATATGTTCAGCAAGTTAATATCTTACTTCAACGAGCGAAACCTGTTGCACGCCAGAGTCAAATATGGATTCCTCAGGCACTAAGTCAAACTACGTTCAGCCTCATGTCAACAGTTCCGCTATGGCATCGAAGAAAATGGACGCAAGGAACTTTAGTTTCTGTTTTAAGTTAGCATAGTACTAGTGCCTAAAGTTTTCGACTCCTATCTCTATCCCCCTGGCTTGTCAGGAAGGACTTCGCGTGGCATACGGTATCAGAGGCCGACTACTCGAATTTCCTTCGATCCTTTCCTCAGTGACAGAGAACAGTCAGTGAGGATTAACGTACAGCCTATCCTTTCCCTTTACTCTACCCCGCAGTGGAGTTCTTCAAAGGGACGTGTTTAGGGACTGCCTAATGTTCATTATATTTAATCAATGATTTGGAACACATTGCCTCCCGTCTGGTTCCTTTTGGCAATATGTATGCGATGAATGCTAAATATACAGACGATCACTAACTGGGCTGCTTGCCTCCCAGAGTGCGCTTGACGCTATAACAAGTGTGGTCCTAGAATGTGTCTTTGGAGAATTTTCGGCTTCGAAACAACAGTAATGGGGTTAGGGTCGGCAGCTCATCCTGAATTTTTCTTTTACTATAGATGGCAAGCCGTTTGACTCGGGTTTCACCAGGTCGCGCTACCTGGGGCTGAACCTACAGCGACAAAACTAGATTTTGAGAGGGCTACATGAGAGATAGAGTGCGTGCCGCTTACGTCCGTCTCCAACTACAATACTAAGAGCCTTCACAAAATCCCGAGATCCGTCCGTATTTATTCCGGACTTTTGTTATTGCTATCGTCAGACCATTTGCTAGAGTACTGCACACGCGCTTTTTGGTCACCCGCAAAAGAATACCTGCATAGATTTGAAGTCGAAAAGGTGCAAAAAAGAATTTACCTATTTGGCTTCTGCGCAGGGGTCTAACGATATACTCGCTATAGCAGAGAACAGTCTGAGCATACTTAGGGGGACACCCTCGAGTTTCGCAGGAAGTTGGCCTGATTTTTGTCTGATGTACAAACTTTCCATACAGACGAAAGTTCGCTTGGCAGGCTATCTGATCTTTTTGATATTCCACCAAACATAAAATATCTCTAAACGGGTATCCTTTATCGCAGCCCTCTTCCTTGTCAGGGTGGTCCCCTCTTGGAACAACTCAAATCGCGATCTATTCTGGTGAGAAGGCGACCCTGTACTTTTCAGGGTCATGCTATCAGATTCTTGAAAGAGCAGGATGGCTCTCAACACTGTATAGAGTCCGACAATCAACATCAGCATAATTATCAGTTTTGATGAGTCGCGATACACGCTCGACAGGTGCGTTCCGCCTTAACGCATATCAACCTAAGATCGCAAATATGCCGTAAAAGAAAGCGCATTGTGGCAATCAGGATAGGTTCTGCTGCTGTTTACGGATGCACCTCTATTCATTTTTCCAGGCTCTTGAGTTGCAAATGAGTCTTCTGCCGCTTGCAAAATGCTGTGTAAAGACTGTGCGAAATCCGTAATAAGCAACTGTGTCGCTACCTTACTAGTGCGATTCTCATTACTGTTGTCGTGTGTGGGTGAGGCAGTTGATGTCGACTTGTCGAGAGTAGCGAGGGTTAAGTCCCCTCACTTGCATGATACGGGGAAGATGGTGGGCCACATTGGATTACAATAAGTGGTTAATAGGTGGATTCTTTAGGTGTAGGAGTTTTGGGTAAAGCATACTGTAGACTGATCACATTTCAGATTGCATGAACGTGCGTTCTGCGGCCTTGCAGGTTTTTCTATCTGGCTCATGTTTCTCCCTTAAGTTCGCTGTTAGGATATTAATCTCAGGCGTTCCTTCGCTTGTGCTCTGTGTCTATTTAAGAGTGCTCGTTATTCTTTTTTTGTGTTGACGTTGGGGTAATTTCGTTTGTTGCGTGCGCTAACCACGCGATTCTTGAGTGGGCTAGTAATGTTCTGTTCTTGCCTTCTTATTACCTTGCCGGGGTGCCTGTTAGCCTCCTTATGGACCGTCACCCTGGTGCAGTATTAGTGGTGGGCGTACGGAGGGTTGGCGGTGTGATACCTACTAACGATTGGTATGCCCGGACCCGTAGAGTCCCAATAGAGCGGTCTGCCCCAGTGTTGGCCGCCACTGGCCCTTTCTCCCTCTCCCGTATCGTCCACCACCTGTTGGGGCGTCTTTGGTGGTCGGCTCCGCACACGTCCTGAGCAGCGCGTTCCCACCGCGCTGTTGTTGTTTGCGCACGCTATGAGTAGTACCACTTATTATGGACCCACAAGTAACACTGTGAGATAAGTAGTTGCATAGTGCATGTCGATCAGCTCTTGTGTGTATTTTTTGCTTACCTATTCATTTTCTGTCGCCTCTATAAAGCTGTATTCGATTTATGCTTGTGTCATTGGCGTTTGGGCCGAGGTTGCTGTCACGTTTCCTAATGTTAGTCGTTTGTCTAACGCTAGTGTTTATTAAGGGGTGGTGGGATGAGATACAATGTGTGTAAATAAATAAATAAATAAAATACCGAATTTCTGAGTTAATAGCATCCAAACGTTCTTGAAGCATAGATGCGAGAACATGTGCATCTTGAGAGCCCTGCAAAACGTCGAAGAGCAAGAAAATTGAAGAAAATTATGGCGGTATCGGCCAGTAACGAGGGAGGACGTCTGGGTCTCACCTGTTGCGGCATAGTAGTGGTGAGAAGATCGGGCTTTTGTGAAGCTGGCTTCGAAACAGATAAACGCTGAGATGCACTTGCACCACCGATGTCCACCATAGACTGCGACGACGAGAACGCCTGTACCGTAGTCACTTTAACAAGGAGACGTGAATAAACCTCCAACAAGATTTACATAAGATTATGCAGACCTGTTGCACATTCGCTAGAACATGCGCCTGTTGCAGTCGATCCCATTCCTGTTCATTCAGAGTTTGAACCTTTGATGGGTCTTCCTGAATTGATGTGATAATTGTACATCCGATGTAAGAAGGTGGGGTGGCGAAATGTAAACCTTCGAAAGAAAAAAACTATACTAACAGGAAAGGTCATCAGGTCAGCCTGGCCATTTCCAATGAGGTGCACACCGTTGTGCGCGTGCTGAGACGGTGAACTCAAATCTGCCTTCAGAATTTGCGGAACGAATCTCTGAACGGAGTTATGGAGGGGGTTTACTCCCGCATAGTTGTTTTACATGCTATCACGAGCAAACGTGGAAGCGTCTTTACATAAACATATGGAGCCCTCCTGAAGCGAGCGAGTGGGTTTCCTAGGGGGGCGTCGTGAGATCAAGTCCCGGCGGGTAGCACATTTTTGCATTTGTCCAAGAATATGGAAGACGAGGATTCTAACATCACTGCTCGCCTGCACCATCCTGCAAGGGGGCCTACGATCAGTTTTTGTTTGATAGTGTAGACCCATTATGGCTGAAAAAGTGCCTGTCTCCATCGTAACACATTTCACAAGGGTTTTTGCAACGAAATACCATGATATCCATGTTGAGCGGGTCAGTTTGCCCCTGAGGACAAGTTTCTAGCTAAATCCGACGTTTCGACCTAACTTGGAAAATGTGGGCCATTCCACGGGCAATTTGCAGCAGGCTGGGGTCCACCCACCATGGATGACTCGTCTTGGGATGGAATTTCCTACCGGTAATCAGGGTGAACGATTAAGTGAGCCAGGTATTGTTCTTTGCGAGAATACAGGACTGAAGAGTTATTTCACCAGTCATCATCAGTATGTTAGTCGCAGTATCGTTGAGTCAGCCATGACTAACCTTACCCCAATTTTTTCGAAGCTGAGGAACCTCAGATTTCGCTGAGGTGCAGTCTCTAGGGGTTATATGACCGCCTGAACACGAATATGATACCTGTTTTGCGCAAAAAGCGCTGTGAGTCGCGCTACACGTCCCAACGCTTTAGCGCCAGCGCGTTCGGAGAAGAAGACTAGTACAGGAGCCTCCATAACTCCGCTCAGAGAATCGTTCCGCAAATTTTGAAGATACTTTTGAGCTCACCGTCTCAAGGCGAGTACAGTGATGTGCACCTCACTGCATATGGCCAGGCTGATCTTTCCCGGTAAGTTGCCGAAAAAAGCTGCAACATATCACAAAAATTTCGGATTGTGAATTCTCTTTCTGCGCCAGAGTTTCGGTCAGCAGAAAGAAGACAACATTAGTATTTAAGGTAATGAGTAGCCCATCGGTCGCGCGACTTTCTGTTCATGCTTTTTATAATATGTTGTGAGTATACGATTAGAGACGTCTATCTCCGTTTCTGGTTACCGTCGATGAACAAATCTTTAGCGCCTTAACACGCTGACGACATGCGCGTTTTTACTTTTTGGCCGCGTGGGACACGCGCGTTTTCTCGAACGCAACCAGCGCGGTACACACATAGTTCAGACGATCCCACGAAGCGTTTTTTTTGGAAATTGGATCGGAAAACTGGATTAGAGCGCAGTTATGAAGTAAGTTAATACTCCAGTATAGAAAAAACCTGGCTGGCTAACTCTCGTTGCACTAGATGCCAGAAATTCGTCGGCGCACACCAATCTTCTTCTTACTTCATTCTTCTCCCTCAGCCGATTGAGTCCCGGCCTTGCAGGCGTCGTCTGATCATTGTTAGACGTCGCCATCTGTTTTCGATCCACTGCCATCTTCTGCTCGTAAGCTATTCACTTCAGTGAGGTCCACTCTTGATGATACGCTCCTCCATCTTGTTCTTTGGCCTCCTGTGTCGCTTGCCTCCACTCGATTCAATGCCCTTCTATCCTTGGTGGTTGGGTGGTCTTCGGGCCTCCTCAAGTACATGACCGTACCATCGCAGTTCGCTGCTCCTCGTGCCTTCAAGCTGGATAGGAGGGCACATAGTCGATCTGTGTGTGATGCCTGACGTCCTCGATTGCTGACTCTGTCGAGTCGTGATCCCAGCCGCAGGCCCATCTCAGCATCCTCATTTTCAGCGAGTGAGCTGCCTTCGCTGGTTCTTGCAGAGTAGGCCCAGCACTTCGCTGCCGTAGGCATTGTAGGCCTTACCACAGCCCGGTCACCTTGCCCTTGGATGCCGTTCTCCGAGCAGCCGCCGTCGCAGGATGCCACTCGGACTCCCTCCCATTTCCAGCAGGCTGCGTTGATTCGCCGGCCATCAACGCTGGTCCACGCTGCCATTCGCTGCTAGGTGTTGCTCCCAAAAGGTACTGCCGAAATCCTCGACCCTGTCGAGCGATCGTTCTCGCCATGGCGATCTACATGGACTTTCGGCGGCACTCTTCGAGCTATAGAACTTCGTCTTCTTCACCGTTAACGCCGGCAGTCCATTCGCCAGCTGAGCACATCCCTGCCACCGCATGCACCTGTGTCCTGAGAGTTCCGCCCTGCTGTCCGCGATCAGGCGATGTCCCGTCAGCATAGAGGATGGTTTTCACGTCGGTCCCTCCAATGAGTTCTTTCTGCCTGGACACTCTAGAGGTCAGGAGGAAGATGGAACGCGGCTGAGGGCTGACCTTGGTGTACCCCAAACCGTATGTTTACTCCCGTCTGTCAAAGCCGTGATGGGTGCGTACAGCGCTTTAGCCCCGTCGTACATAAGTCCTCACTATGGAGATGAGTGATTCCGGAACGTTACGTTCTCTGAGCGCTCTCCAAGAGACAGGCCTGGCAGGAGCCGATCACAATGCCTTCTCAAGAGTCCAGGAAGGCTAGGGGCGGGGGGGGGTGGAGGGACGGGCGTATCAGGGGTGGGGGCGCGCGCTTCTCTCGGTACTGTGTGCAGCTGTACTGGACGATAGCGAAGATGGCATGCGGTGCGGCTGCGACCTTCGGGGCATGAAGACCGAACGGTTACTTGCGAGATAGCGGACAAAGTTCCTCAGCCTAGTCGTTGCACCAGGCGCTCGTACATGCTTATGTATGGAGTCAGCTTGCACCCGCGGTAGTCGAGAGCAGCTCGCGTTCGCGTCCCCTTTCTGTTTGAAGGATACTGGGAACCGATTGCTGCTGCTCCTCCACGCATTCGCGATCCTTCCTTCAGCTGTTTAGTTGTTTAGGAAGTTGCGTGACGCCAACGTCACCCATACTCTCCAAGGCGCCTTCCACTTGCTCCTATCGGTACCCGTCTGGACCCACCTGCCTTTCCAGCTTTCATTCTCCCTAGCTCCCGGGCGAACTTTCATCCTTCGTCCAGGAGGTGATGGGGACTGCTCGTCGCCTCTATCTGTGGGGCTATCCGTGCGAAGGAATGAGTGTCGTGTAATTACTTCCCACTCTTCCTGACCTCGGCTGGTTTCCTGAGAATGGCCCCATTCCCTGCTCTTCACAGTCTTGTACGCACCCTGATGTCCTGAGCTGCGCGATGCGAGCTTCAGCCAGGCGGAAGAAAGAACTTGTCACCGCTTCTCAAGCGCCTTCTTTAGCTTGTCGTACAGGGCGTCCATTTTCCATATCTCTTGCCTTAGCACGGCCGCCTTAGCGAGTCGGCTTGCCCAGGCTCGCTGTAGGCAGCGTAGGTCTGAGATGGCTCCGTATGTCCTTTTGCCAGCGTTCTGGTATGCTTCCCTTTTTCTGCTTGACCTAGTCTCTCTGACATTCCTCGCTTCAGACCAGGCTGCTTGTCTCCTCTGATACCACCTCGGTCCTCTCCCAGACCCCATTGCAGCACTTAGGCGATGACCTCTGCTTGCGTAGGTCCAGGTGTCCTGGACTGGCCCGATGTGGGTCTGGGAGCACCCAGCCTCCAGTATTCGTCGGCCGACGGCTCTCTTTGCTACCCTCGCCCATTTTTCCACACCGAAATTCCTTCGCTACTGCTCTCACCCTTGTCTTCTTGCCCGGAGCAGTCTATTGGCGATGTCTGCCAGGAGGCGCCTGGTGCTGAGCGCGCCCAGCTACATTCCCCAGGCAGCAGCCTTGATATCCTGCCATGGTTCTTTGACGAGACGCATCTTCTAGACCAGGCATATGCGCAATTTCTCCGTTCTGTCATCCCACCACTGCTGTAGGTTACCTTTTGGCCGTCGTCCTTTTCGCCCCCGAGAAGCAGTGCTGCAGATTGCTAAGTCGTGGGCTGATGCTAGTCAAAATTCGTCTCCTCAGCGTTCTTGTCCGCTATCTCCTTGACCGCCCTTCATGCCACCTGTCTAGACCCCGTTCTGTCCCTCACCAAACATTGGCCCATTCAGCATCTTCCAGGCTATGTGAGATAGTCCTCCTTCCGCGAACAATCTTATGCCTCGTCCAGGCGTCAGGTAGAAACTCATCCTTTTCGGCTTCAGCAGCAACGCCGGAATTGTGCCGTGCGTACACGTCGAGTACTGTCCAGTACCCCTCCTTACGTGTCCATTCTCACTCCCATTGATCGCCGTCACTGAATCCTGGCTTCACAGAAAGAGACGCAGTCGCTGAGGGATTCTGCCACCGCCTATGACACGCCATTCCGTTTGGTGTCTGCCCATTGTAGAGCGAGTTTTGACGCCTTCTCAAGTTTCGCGCGCCTTCGCCCTCTCATCGCGCTTTCCTGAGGCATAGGACTTGGATGTTCCTGCAGCGTCTTCATGAGCATCGGCAGACCTCAGAGACTTCCCGGTAAAGCCGACCCACGTTCAGGTCCAATTCGACTAGCTTCGTGTTGGCCGAGCGTCCGTTCACCCCATCGGTTAGCCTCGCATATGACCACGGAACTCGGGCGAGGGTTCATGCGCGCCACTTCGAGCGTGACCGTCCTAGCTCTTTACACTGATTCTATACTGCGACGTTTCAATGTTGCTTGTGGACGGTTCCATCCATCACCGGCCTGTCACCCTGGGCCTGACCCCCGATAATGACGTCACCCATTTTTGCAATTTTTTGCAACGGCAGAGTTTAAGCCTCGGCAGGGTGCGAACTCCGTGTCAGTGTGAAGATTATGAGTTTACAGCTCTTAACCATCGGCCTACTCCCTGCCCTCAACATTCTGTCCCGCAACCAATGTTTTCATAAAAAACGGGGTGTCGTGCCCTCTATAGGCGTTCAGTATCCTTCACCCTATAATTTTTACCATTATCAACATTGTATGCGTTCAGAATTTCTCAGCTAAGTGTTGAGAGAGCAAACCATTCCTAGTTGAAGAGCAAATCAGTCCGAGCAAATGTGATCTTTACCCAAAAAGTATTTGCTAAACTAGTGTGTACCTGAATATATTCCATGGACTACGCCATAGTACGAGCTACACCAGGGTCTAAAACTATACAATGATTAAAAGAAACTAACTAAAAAACATGCACTGTTAAAAGATATGGATTTTGTGATCGTTATGTATAGTATGCACGCTGTCCCAAATGGCCTACAACGCGTGCATTCAATGTGTCTCACGCTGTCGTCAATGTGTAAAGATACGTTTATATCGGGCTACTGACAACAAAAAACAGCCGAAATCTATTCTCCCGAGTGACTAGCGCGTTTTCACATTCCCCAATCCACATATACGATCTTTTGGCATGCCGTCATCGTCACATGCGAAAGCACCTTATTGTGGAGTAGAGATACATTGAGATTCCTGAGAGAGTTTCGCGCATGCGATAAGCCATCTCAGCTGACTAAAGTACGCTCACCACTGGTGACGTAGCATCTAGCACCACCCCTTTGCAGTTCAATAAACAAGACGGAAGGGCTCCTTTCGTGCGTGTCTGCCTTTGGCTCTGCAGGTGCTTTCTTCCTAAAGTGATCGCATGAGATTTCCGTACACGATTGAATATGGTAACCAGCAGCCTCGCAATGTGTCCGAAAAAAAATTCATTCACAATTATTCAGTTCGTCTTACCAGAATGGCGCCACCGATGGGAACTCATCGTGGACATCGTTGGGATGGCATCTATGCAGTGCTGCAGAGAGACTAATTTCCGAAGGATTGCGCAGAAGCTGAGACATCTGGTAACTTGGACTGAACCTTGACGGTGGTGGCCAGGCGCTATCTTTCACTAGAATAAGTCATTTGTGGCCACGGAGGCAAGTTCTGCTGTTCAGTGTTCAGCGTGTTCCAAAACGGTTTCTTGCCTTTTGTAAAGCTATAGGGACCAAAAGTGAGGTTTACTGCGTTCTCGAAGGACTTCCAGAGAAGGAATGTAAAAGTTCTAAGAAAGAGCGTCGAAAATCAGAATATTACACTGCTACGCGCTTGTAATACAGATCACTGATAATATGGAAGGTGATGTCCAAGAGGACATTAAAAACAACGGGAACTATGGTCAAAAATGAAATTATGCATTGCATATAGGAAATTTATCCGAGTTACACCTATACAACTACCGTCACTGCTTAAATGTTCTGGTGCTTAGTGTTGTGGGCTCTCATTGGCACGCCAGGAAGCAGTTTGTGGTGCAGATCCCCTGGCGAACGATGCTTCGCGTCATTTGGAATTTTGTTTTCTTGCGAACTTACGCGTCCAAGTAGCTGTTGGGATCTGAGCAGTTTGACGGCATCCTCCATCCATCATTAATGCACATGAGCCAACACTACTCATCTGTTACAGTCTCACACGTTCAAAGAAAAAAAAATCCTTACTGAACCTTGACCCATAGGAATCAGGCGCTGTCTTTATCCCAGAAAAAAACAACTGCTTATGAGCACACAGAGCCCGTTGCGACTTACCTATAGAAACGGCTACAATGGCGCCAAGCAGAGTTGGCAATAATTAGTGTCAGAATTGTAATGAAATCTCAACTACCCCTATACACAAATTTTCAGGAAAAAAAATATTTTTTTACCTTCCTGGGACAGATTGTTGACTACAGGTTTAGCGAATGTAGGTGATTGCGTTTCACTTGTTTTGCTGGTTTTTTTAAAAGTTACTGGTTATCAGTATGCAAAGAAAGAACGTAACAAGGAGAAGCTTCACGGGCTCTTGTGTAGTATCAGGCAAGAAGAAAAAAACTGTTGCAACTAAGCCTGTTAGGGCAGTGGATGGTCCTGATTATCATTATGACCCCTGTTTCCACACCATACCCCCTTATCCCTATAGGTGGGTCAAGAAGAAACTAGACGAAAGAAATCTGTGGCGCAATACTGACAATGAATGGCATCGAAGTCAGAAGTGGATGCTAACCAGGAAAGGATGTTTGGTCGAAGTGGCCGTTCGAGATGAGATGTATACCATCTGATGCGATTTTGGAAGCTGAATACGAATCTGCATTCCATATCTGCTAAACGATTCTCTGAACAGAGCTGTGCAGGTTTTTGACCTGGTCATCCCTATTTTCATCTGTATTTAAGGCACAAGGAACCCCCCCTAATTCGCACAAATTCCGAACCAAAGGTTGCCTAGGACATCAAGAAATGTCACTGCACTCATTTCTCATGGGAATATCGTGTTCGCATTCCGCGTCCCCCGTCTATTTGAGCGACTGTGACGCTAGAGAGGACTAATTCGTGGAGGAGCCCGTAGCGCATGACGCAAGCGTTTTTGCGCTGAATGAGTGTGATATTCGTGTTCTGGGGATCAAATTAGCCATATGGGAAGGTTTTTAGCAAAGTCTGAGATTTTGAGCAAAATTCGAAACAGTGGTGTAACCATGGGCAATACATCCCTTGAGGCCACGGGGACTATCCTCGACTAGGATCACAGTGGGCATTGGAGTATTTTCATTAAATTCAAACCTCATTAGTAACAGACGGTCCTGTTCACAAGTGTGACAATCACTTTTTACGGCCGTGGCATTTGGCGCCAGCTTGGCGACACACCATAACGTAACGAATGATGGCACCGGAACGGAACGATGAGGGCATCCAGGGGTGCTCCTCAAAACTCTTCCAGAATGGCCCCATTCCTTCAGAAGTAACATTTTTCGGCAGGATTAGATCTCCTAGCTACGTAAAAATGGTTTTAAAAACTGTAGGGAACATCTGAAAAAAATGCAAAACGAAGTTCCAACCAAGGATTCGAACCGTTGACCGCACAAACATGAGTCCGATCGCTTACCCACTAGGCCATCGCAACACGTTTGCTGCTCAGTCAGACACTGTTTGTACACTGGTGTGCAAAACTTAGGGACGAGATGGATGAAGTAACATAAAACACTAATGACTGCCACTCGCCTAAGGGATATGCACAGGAAGCTAGACTTTTCTCGGTGGAAGAATAGCTTGAATAAAGTGCCAGATATGGCCGACCGCGCAAATCGAGGCAGTCTATGGGTATGAAAAAAATTTTTTTTTTCTCAATCAACGAGTAGCTGCAAAGAACTGTGGTAGTATCCTTCGATACATCATGTCCGAAGAGAGCATTTGGATGACTTTTTTCATTGAAAGATCATAGGGAAACTCGAACAAGGTCGAACCATGTCGAGTGTAGCCCAGGAGTTCGGTCACAGTGTTGTTTCACGTGCATGGAGAGCGTTCCGAACCTTTGGTACTGCTGCCCTAAGACGAGGAGGTGGCCGACCAAGGACAACTACACCAAGGGACGACCGCTACATTGTGCAGCAGGCAAGAAGAGATCCTCGTCAATCGGCTTCGGCTATTGCAACGACAACAGGACTCTAGGGCAAGCCATCTCACGCACTGCAGTGGCAAGACGACTGCATGGTGGTGGTCTCTTCGCTCGACGACCATTACGTTGTGTTCCTTTGACCCCCGCGCATCGGCGAGACCGTTTACGGTGGTGCCAGGAGCATGGCGAATGGACCGATGAGGAATGGAGCCGTGTGCTCTTTTCGGATGAGAGCAGGTTCAGTCTGAGCAGTGATTCTGGACGCACCCTCATATGGCGAGAGGTGAGAACACGCAACTCCCCCGGAAACATTGTCGAACGTGATCGTGCTGGTGGTCGAGGTGTTATGGTATGGGGAGGCATCATGTTGCATGGTCGTACTGACCCCCAGATTTTTGAGCATGGAACCCTCACCAGTCAGCGACTGCGACGAGGTTCTCCTACATCATGTCCGTCTTTTCAGAGCTGCAATCGGCACTGACCTCGTTTTCATGGATGACAATGCGCGACCGCATCGAACAGCACAGGTGGAGGAGCTTCCAGAACGAGAGGATATCCGGCGAATGTCCTACAGTGTGGTCAGCCATACAAATTTCCATAACTTTGTTCGGAGAATCGTTTAGCAGATTTGGAAAGCAAATTCGAAATCATTATCCAAAGTCGCGTCGGTCGGTATACATCTCATTTCAAATGGCCACTTCGACCTACCATCCTTTCCTGGTAAGATAGGGGGGAAATGGCTAACCCCTATAGATCAAGTTTCAGGAGTTTTCTCTGCTAGATTGATAGCTGAGTAGTGTACCTTTGCAGCATATCTATCTCCAGTCACAATCTTTCACGGGCGCGTAGATTGGCAAATAAAAGAAATCGCAGTTGGTACAAAGTATCGATCACCGAGGAATCACCAGGCTATCTGATCATTGACAGAGGATGTGAATGTCTATCCTCACGCAGCTCTTCTGTAAATCCAACGAACAAAAATGTTCAGTTTCTGATTGTAACTCACATTCTCTTCAGTGTTTAGTGGAACATTACCTATGGAACTGCAAGTGTTCTGTATTACAAGCCGACAGCAATAAAGTAGTTTCAACAACGTTCTTTGGAGAAACTTTTCACACCACTATTGGCATTCCTACGTGTGTAGCGAGAGTGAGCTTCACGTTCCGAGAAAGAAAATCCCCAGAGTGCAGAAAAGAAAAAGCGCTCCGTGCCCTAAACGACTTCAACGATCAGCTACAGTTAACTCTGAAACCCTTTGATCGCAGCTATATCGTCTATTTTCCTCTGCTTATTATTGCTTAACCTAAGGCATCCAGACATTTAGAGGAATGGCAGGAAATTATAGAGGATAGAGCTGCGGGCTACTATATCGTTTGAAAGCAAGTACCTTTGGCTAAATATGTTTAAAATTCGTTGATTTCGCCACGAAGAATTTTTCGAGATGTTGAAAGAAGCTCGAATGGTCAAAACCAGTGCCGGATTATGAAATCAGGCGTCATAAAATGAAAGTGCGCTGCTAGAATTTGTCCTATGCCGAATCAGTAGTTAAGTTTAATAGTGTTCTCGAAATGGAATGCGGGAAATTCGGTCAGAAGCCCAAAGAAGGGAGAACGAAAAAAGTTGGGGCCGAGGAAGGCTCCATAGCGTTCATCGTGCACAAGAGAAGCGGTTAGGAGCAGTCAATTAACATCTTGTTACTGAGACTGGACCTGTCAAGCTTCCCCGCGGACTTATACTCCTGCTGCAACTGTTGCCAGAGTTACGCTCGAAAAATTGATGGTCAAGAGTGTGTGTATTTGAGTATCTTATTTTCTTGTAAAAGCACGAAAGCTGAACCGATTGGATGCCTATAGCAGTAATGTTCTCCACATAAGACGCCATTCGCAAGTGTAAAAACGCACCGTGGCCTCAGGCGAGATATGGGTGGTCTGAAATCCGATCCGGAATTCACAACCGTCAATTTTGTATGAATCTAGAAGAGAAGCCGCCCAAATTCTGCTATCAGGAGTGTGGGGCCGAGCTGTTAATCATCATGTCAAGAGATTCCTGCACTGTGGCTTTCAAGCGGCTCTGTAGAAAAACAAAACCGTCGCTGTCGGTGTGCATTGCCCGCTCCTTGACAATCAGAACGACAAAAGGATGGTACCACACAACTACAAGAAGGCTATCATTGCCCGTCACACTGCCAGTTCTCGGGTGACCGCATTCTTGGGCAATGGTTGGACACAAACGATACTGAGAGCTGAGATCAATCGCCTTATTCGCCCGACCTACAGCCGTGTGTCACCTAATCTGGTTAGTCGAACTGTTCCACGATGATTTGCCATTTGCCAAAATTGGCATCATGTGTAATTTACTCGCACTTGTTGACAAAAAAGGTGTTAGTAGTCCAAGTGCTCCCGGGGCGCTGGGAACGGGTCATTGATAAAACCCGGATCTATTTTGATTCTAAGCTAGAATATGACTTATCTGTTCTGCCCTTCATTTTATTTGAATAGAACCTCCCACGTTTTTGTATGGGATGACGTAATAAATCGGGAGCTATTAACGGCATGTCTCCCTCATCTCATTTGCCGTCCCGCCTCCTACCTTTGCCCATTTTTCTCTATCTACGGGACGGAACCAGTCATTATGATTAGCCCCACTCGCCGAAGTGCAAGATTCGCCCAACTAGTATGTTTCCTCATCCAATCCAAGTTCGCCGTAATCACCCATTTTTTTCCGTTCTTTAGACTATTCTTTAACGCAACTACGAGTTTCTGAAAAAGGTACATCTGACTCAGTGGTACGCTCCATACTGTAGGAGGGTAGCGTACTAGCAAAAGATGCTCACCTATCCTCTGATGTTTTTTTATAAAATTTTCCTCCCATCTACAAACTGCCTCAAGACTGAGCAACGGCCTTTTTCCACCGTAAGCACCTCTCACCATGAATATGTCTCAATTTATCCGCCTAACCGCCTAACCATTGCTGGCCTCTAACCATATTTTTCTGGCTTCTGGACTATTCTGCGAGCGAATTACAATTACACGGCTCACTTCCGACGCACGCCCTCTCCATAGAGAACGACGCTCAGCTCAGTTCACCAGTACTTGTAATGAGTACCTGTAATGCATTGATTCGACCTTTGTTTGATCTTCGAATTCCAAGACTTGCATAGCTAGGTGATATAATGTCGGTATATGACGTGGCCGTGAATTGCTGAGGGACAATAGTTTGTGCAGACGGAGCAGCAATGCCGTTCGGATTGCCCGACGGTAGCAACGGTGGAAGTATGGCATGCATCCTAAAAACAGTTTACCATAACAGATTGTATCAGGACTAGCGAAGAATCGAAAAGGATAGTAGTAGTAAGAAGACGTAATATGACGTGAATACCATGCTCATACTACTACTATACCTATACCTTTTAGTCTTACGTTATTACCTGTGCTTTTCGCGAACGTTAGCTGTGTGAATATGATAGCAAGATTGCTGGTTGACGCGGGCAAAACGCTTTACTTCAGAGATGAATTGTGCTTCTGGTTGCGCAGTACGCTTACAACGGAGGCCATTCAGGTCAGGATGCATTCTTTAGTAATGGTTTGTTGCATGCTACTGGGGACCACACAAGGACCACAGTGCTTCATTTGTGCTATGCGCGCCTGGGAATGCCAAAAAAGAGATCAAATCGTCAGAAAAAGGACGATTTTGCCCACATTGAGGGCTCTGTTCTAACTGTAACTTTGACCATGCATAGCTTGTGGAATGCTATCAGCCATGAGATGCTATATCAGCTGACTACGCATCGAAAACAGCGTAAAATGAAGTTAAAAGAGTGCCTCACTTATGTCCAGTCCAGGGGACTGGAGCAAATTCTGGAACACTGTAGCTTGATCGTCTGATGACTGCGAGTGATGTTTTGGTTCCAGGGAGTGCGAGGCGAGCCGTGCGATGACGGCAGAAGCGACGGAGGAGCGACTGGCGGGCGGCTGCACGGCCATCGGAGATCGACTCACGAACCCCTCCAGCTACGATTCACCATTCGGTCGGCGGCTGTCAATAAAGCTGCTCGTTGTATTCGATCCACTGCTATACACTCAGCGAGTGGAGCAACTGACGCCGACCATGGAAGGAACGTGTGCTTTTTTTCTCTTTGCTTTGCTTTGTAGCTGGGCAGCTGCCCCGTGATTGGGCATTAACAGATTAGGCCGATCTGTTTGTTCTACTGCGGCGATGTTTCCTTCTCTCGAGCTTTGTTTTCGACCTTTTAAATTTTTCGCCGCCGTAATCAATACTGACCCCGCAAATACACCCCCCCCCCCAGTCCTGAGAGAGGTCAATAGACTCCCACCCGTCGCTGAAGCTGCGACGGATTTGTGGTACTGGTTTGAAGGCAGTTGGCACGATAAATCCCCCAAGACGACTAGGATCAATACTCCTGGCAGGATAGAATTCCGCGACCCTGTGCAGGCGGTGCGCAGCGGTTTCCCCGCGGAAGATGCATGCACTTATAAGGGCCCTATGAAGCCACAACTTAACGTCCCAAACGCCACACCCGCCCGCCCACAAATGGACGACCGTTCCTGACGCTCGTATTCATTTATTTGCTAAGGAAATTATGAAAAGAAGGGATCGGTATGGTAAGATTTCTATGGGAAACTCGTCCAGAATCGATTTTCAAGTCATTGAGAAAGGAGGCTTTCCTTCGCAGGATTTTGACCGTTTCACTCCGTTCTTTCGCCATTTCCCCACTATACAGCGCCCTACTAGCATTTTAGGCTAACAAGGGAACCCTAACAGGTCGATACGGCCATTTGCAATGAGATGTATATGTGTGGACGTGTATTGAGCGGCTGAATCCAAATCTGCCCTCCGAATTTGCGGAACGTTTCTCTGAAGAGTGTTGACCATTTAATCTCTGCTCTGTTCGTAGAAATTGCGAGGGATAAGTGCGACAAGTGGTCGATGGCGTAGTGGATAGGCGCGCTGCTTCAAAGACATAAGGTCGCATGTTGGAATCCTTGACTCTCGCAAATTTTTTGCTTTTATTTAAAACACTTCACATGAGTCCCTAAAACACTTCTGTTTGGCCAATTTACCTAGTTCTTTAATTTTGACATCAGGAGCAAGCAACTCGCCTTTTTTGCTTCCTTCCAAGAAGTTTTATTATGAGGATACCCGTTTATTAAAGGCAGAACCCGCGATTATTTGCCATCTCAGATGGTGGATTAGGGGGCTCCATATAGATGGCAAGGGGTTAAGTAACTCGACTGTAAACAAAAAAAAGCACAAAAAACATGCCACCTGCCCTAGATAGAACCTCATTTCGATTCCAGTTTGTACGTGCCCAATCAATTCTATCTCCGAAACTACGTCCTCAAATGCACAGCTGATTCACTGATGAGATGTCTACAATCGTACAAGTGGCGATTATCATGCTATTTCGTTCTGCAAACTCATTTTTCAGTGGAAGCCGGTCATTAGGGGCGGAGTCTGCAGGCGGAGTCACGGAAAAAGGAGGAGCCACTGAACCTATATTGCGCTATAGAGCCCTCCCACAGAATTTTTTGCCGCGAAACCGGTACAAGGTTGTTCGTCGTGAACCACTCTAACCTCCTGACGCCATATTTTCAACTTCGATACCTGATCGCGGACCGTGCCTTTAAAGCTTGCAGTCGCGACCGCGATGTGGTACCTGAGATCAGCGAGGTAGTCGATTTCTCCGCCACCGTAGACCACCCTATTCAACTCCGCCCGAAGGTAATTGAGTGGATTCAGGTCAGGGTACAGACTCCAATATTACATCTTCTTCAGATACGAAACGCCCTTCCATTCGAAGTAGGCGAGAGTTTTTCCAAAACTCTTCCACTCCATGCCCAAACCTGTAGCAGTACAAGGTCTCCAAGAAGGTACGGGCGACGACATGTAGGGAGGATATTCTCGAGTTGCTTGATGTAACCGCCAGCGCTCACCTTCAGTCCGGGTCTACAAAGAAAATATCGGTCTTCCCACTCCAGGTACTCCAGGTCCATACCATCAACTCACGCCTCGGCGACTACGGTGAAGATGATGTCCTAGACCGTATCGACGTTGACGAAGCTGCTCGATGTTGGAGGTGTCCCAGATTGAGAGTACTGGTCTCCAGGTAGCTACCCATGGGTGACTCCACACTAGTAGTTTCGCAGCTGTTTGGAGGTGACATGAATTCCAAAGGTCTTTTCCAGTCAGGCTGCGACTGGAGATGACCTCATATTTTGGTGTACATGAAGGTGGTGGGCAAGAGCCAGCTCCTGCTTATCGAGGAACATCTTGGGTATCTACCGCCCTGGTACTCGTATACACATTCTCTGTCTGGGGTGCGAAAACTTTGCTGATATGTGACTTGGTCAAAGTGACTTTTTTTGGCCTGTATATATACGGGGGGGGGGGAAGCAAAAAAGTCACTTTTCTTCATTGACTTCCGAGGCGCTATAAATTACACTTTATAGAATTTTCATCGGACATTTTTACAACAAAATTAAAGAGCATATTAAATACTATCATGACACTCCGCCACAGACTTCTGACGAGCACCATAGAGAGATTCTGGCGCGCGACCACGATCTGGTGCCTGAGATCAGCGAGATAGTCGATTTCTCCGTCACCGTAGACAACCCTATTGAACTCCGCCTGAACCGATAATTGAAGGAATTCTGGTCAGGTGACCTACTTGGATATTCCATCTTCTTTAGGTACCCAGCCCTCTTCCATTCCAAGTAGGCGAGAGTTTCTCCAACGCCTTTGATTTTCACCTTATGTCCGGGGTCCACGAAGAAAATATTGGTCTTCCCATTCTAGGTACGTCCGGTCCATACCATCAACCCGCGCCTTGACGACTGTGTGTGAAGATATGTCCTAGACCGTGGCGACGTTGTCGGAACTGCTCGATGTTGGAGGTCTTCCAGATCGAGAGTACTAGCCTCCAGATAGCTATCCATGGGTGACTCCATACTAGAAGTTTCGTATTTGTTTGAAGGTGACATGAATTCCAAAGGTCTTCTCCAGTCAGGCTGCGACGGGAGATGACTTCATATTTTGGTGTACATGAAGGTGATGGACGAGAGCTAGCTCCTGCTTGTAGAGGCCACCCGCAATGAATGTGTCTTGCACTACCAAATCGGTGACTCCTCGCTTAACCCAGCCCACTTTTTCCCCAGTGTCTGAACTACTCTGGAACCGTTCCACAAAATTTTAAGTTTGGCTCCGCCTGCCTCGCCTCACGCTCCGTCTTCGACGGATGTGTCTCGCATCGATCGGTGGTTCCTCTTAACCACTACTCTTTCTTTCACAGTCTGGAGTGCTCTGGAACCGTTTTACAGAGTTTTTGTCTGAATCCGCCCACATCGGAGCAGGACCCGCCCGCAACGTGTATGCCCCACGTTTCTCACCCACAACCCTTCGCTGGCTTTAATCCACTTTTTCCGGTCTGTAGTGCTCTGTAACCGTTTCACAGACCTTTTTGTCTGGTTCCGCCCACCTCTTAACACTCCCCGCCCAGAACGTGTGTGTTTCCTGACCTGTGACCCTTCGCTGACCTTGATCGACCGTTTTTCCGGCCTTTGGAATGCTTTGTAAACGGTCAACGGAATTTTTCTGCCGAGTGTCGGACTCCACTCACCACGGGGCGCACGCCGCCCACAACACGTGTGCCCTAGCGCGACCCTTTGCTGATCTTAATCCACCTTTTTCCGGTCTCTGGAGTGCTCTGGAACCACGCTACAAACTTTTGAAATGGGCACCCTATGATTAAGAGCAAGCTCCGCCCATTGTGGGCGGGTCTCAACACACCTCATGCGTGCCAAACTCTCGCCTGATGTTGCCCTCCCACATCGGCCTTTTTGCGATTTCTAAACTCTCTACGAGTTAACAAGTTTTTTGTGTGAAGCACCGCCTATCTCAAGTACGCCCCGCCTGTTTCGGGTGTGTCTCCCCTAATAAGTATAACAATCCCCTGCTAACCTTATTCCACTTTTTCCCCATCTCTGGGCTGCTCTAGAGGCGAGTTATGAGTTTTTCTCTGCGGCACCGCCGACTTTCGGCGCATGCCCCGCCCATTGTAGGTGGGGCTTCGCATGGGTCGAGTGTGCTCTTTATTCCTTGTCCCATGCCCTACCCATCACCATCTTGACCCCACGCTCTCCAAATTTTTCTTCAGGCCGAATCAAATTTCCGGATAGACAAACAAACAAACAAACAAACAGCACGAAGCAATTATATTATAAGTGCATGATATGTATAATACCGTATTCACTTTGAATCGGACACTTGTCCAACCGCGCCTGCGGAACCCTTTTTCAGGACCATATCGAACACTTAAAAACAAAACGGCTCACTTTTTTTAAACAAATCGGACATTTTTCAATCCAAACGAACACTTTTCAAATCAAATCGGACACTCCCTCACAACGGGCAGTTGAATAACTAGACTACACTAGCTAGCTGCAAACCCCGCCTCCAACACCCTCGCCCACTTCATAGAGCGGCATCGGTCTTCCAAAATGTTCTTACGAATTCTGCTCGTCTTCAATTTTTTTTCACTTTTGATATGTGACACCACACATCGAGGAATAGGATTGACACGACACATACATGACTCCGCCCACTTTTTCAATGAAGTCACCGCAGTTTTTGAACTTTGAACTTTTTTGACGTAGTTTTTCTCGCTATTCAGTCCATCACAAAAAGAATAACCTCATAGCCTCGCATTTACACACTAGCACAACTAAGCCCCGCCCCTCTCACCACGCCCCATGTGTTTTTCGATGGAATTTTGATTTGCTTTCCGACTTTTCGCTTTTTAGGACTGGCAAGTGGCTCCGCCCACTGATAAGGAGTCTCGTCCACTTTGTAGAAGCCCGCACACTGAATTGTACTAAGTAAAATGATGAATGTACAGATTGGCAGGCTAGAGTCCGTACTGGCAAGTTTATGGTCTCCGCGTCACTCGCCGAAACAATTTTGTCCTTCTTTCTCCGTTCTTATGATGTGGTTGTGTTGTGTATTGTGTATATGTGGTGTATGTGTGACTATAGTATGTTGTATGTGTACTGTAGTGTACGGTGATGTGTGGTATGTGTGTATGTGTGTATGAGTGTGTTGATGTGTGTGTGTGTGTGTGGTGTGCTGTGTGTGATGTGTGTGATCTGCCTGAAACTGCAAGCAAAAGCAAGGAGCAATGCGCGTCGCGTCATAAGAAAACTTTGAAGTTGGAAATGCCTTTCTGAGCAATCACACAGAAAATTTTTATACAAAAAGTTCAAAACATTTTCGAATGCACAGTTATCGTAGTCTTCGAACCTTTTTTGCACGACTGTGGCTAGCAAGGAGGTTTTTGCCATTGGAACCGTGGAAACCGACACGTAAAAAGTGCGCTTGTTCTTCAGGGAAAAGATCACGATTTGATACGTTTTCTTAGTATCGAACCAGATTTTCGTTTTGCAGCAACTTATCCCCGCAAAGGTCATGGCTACTGATGGTGTAAACTTTTAGGCAAAGAAAAAACCTTCGGTGATAATATTGAAAAAAAATACTACATCTCTATTCCCTGTACAAACCTACCCGGTTTCTAGAGAGGAAGTTCAAAATTTCAGATCTGAAGACAACTTTGCACTATTTTTCTGGAGTTAGGAAAAATAGAAGTTTATGCCTGTTAAGAGAAGGTGAAACCTTCGACTATTTCTCGCCTCCCATTGAATATACAGTAGCGCTAGGTATTTTTGGTCTAAACGGTTCTTTGGCCGCACATTCTTTCTCCTGGAGACTATTTTCAGACTAATCAAGACTAATTTCACCATACTGCCTAAACATATGGGAAATATTTCCGAATTTTGACTGCTTTGTCCCGTTGTACACGGCATTTTGCGAATACTGTTAGGTTGATGCATATGCTTGTGGCCCCCTGTTTTGATCCTTCCGCATTTCGTTTGCATGGATGTTGGTATTTCGTCATCATGTGTGCGTGACGTGTACATGATACTCTTTCATCACACTAGCTATCAATCACCATCCCTGCATTTGCAGGCCACAGTGCCGCACAATTTCCACTGTGAAATCATGGCACAGTGGTGATTGTGCGGCATTGTGACCTTCTTCAGGTCCAACCCCCGTCCCTCTGGGAGGATGGAATCGACAAGCTGCCTGAGCGTTGGCGTCGAGTAGTGGATGGTGATGGTGCTACCTCTAATCTTCAGGCTGGTTCGCTACTGAGATATTTACAGAAAAGTCGGGGCAAAAAAACATATCCATCAATCTAACAAATTCTAGGAATGCAGAAAACCCAGGCAAACGAAAGCCTATCTTATTTCGGGCTAAACTTGTACAATCATATAATCTCAACCGAAAAGCAAGCAGGTTGAAAACAAGAGAAAATCTACCTTGAGTGGAATTGAGCAGTGCGTACCCTGTAAAGCTGTTGACGAAGTGCTTCGATTTCCTGCCGAAGGGCGTCGTTATCACGCTGCAGACGTTCTTTTGTTCGTTCGGCCTAAATGTTAAGCGTATAAGCGATTGAGGTTAATTTCCACCACTACTCGAATAACTGAGAAGCGCTGACTGGCTATCCGCTGAGTAAAGACAGAGCCCGCGCTCAAGCAACTCTCAGGTTCCTTTCTTTACCAGGTAGTCCGGCCTCAATCCCAACAATGTCTCATTTCCGTGATTCCACAGTGTGTGACGACAGCACTACGGCGTGGCCGTCGCAAGATAAAGGTATGTCACCTACTAAAGCTGCCTCGTCATGTCCGAAGAGGAGAGCTGCTAGCAGTTCTGCATACGCTTTCATCATCCCTCAAGGGACCAAGCTGTAGTCCATCTCGTCTTCCAGCTCATGCTACTACGCGGAAGGCAGGGCATTCTTTGGGAAAGGGACACACGCGCAGCGGAACTCATTTCATTTCGCACGGCAGAATGCGTTTCGACGCCACTTCATTCACCAACAGTGCACTTGGATTGCTGCAACTGCTTATCGCTGCAGTACTACTGTGACACTAATTCTGCACAAAAAAGTATTTTCGCAGGCTGTACGCCTTTCGATGTGAGCTTCGATTTCAGTTTTCTATTGTTTGTCACTAGTGGATGTTTCATTCAGTACTAGGTAAGGTTAAGAAACCATAGGCAAGAAAATCTCAGAGGCCGCACGGTACCCATCGGCCACCAGGTTTGGAAAATTGGTACAATGCGACTGCTGGGGAGGGGAATCAATCATACCAATTTGTAGTGTACATCGCCGTTCAACTCGTCCTACTAGGCAGTATGTGAAGTAACCTGCTTTTCTCTGATGAGGTTTTCCTGCTCTTTAATGGGGTTTTCCTGCAAAAAAAACACGCAATGAAACGCAATCCATTTCAAAAGGCAAGACGCCTTGACGCTACCTTAAAGACAGCCCCCGCGCTCAAGTAATTCATGGTCATCCTTCCTTGTGCAAGTAGTCGAGCCCCAAGCTAAAGGACTCTCCCACTCTTGCGACCACAGAGAGCGAGGAGCGTGCCACAGCCGCTGAAAATTCTAGCTCTAACGCCCGCTCAGTTTGGCCGCCCGCTTTAGTTCTCCTCTCCTTTATTGCGCTTTATTTATTAGGAACACATACAGTACAGTACGCTGAGTTTTTGAAAGTTTGTTTTTGTCAAGAGTTTTCCGTCAGTCTTTTTAATGTTTTTCGTACTCTTTTCTTTGCATTGGATGATATTCTTTAATGGGACATGCGAAAAAGCGATTTCTGAGCCAGGGGTTGCACAGAGATGCAGAGCAGTGTGAATGTCAAGGAACGATTTATTTTACAGTGTTCTTGAGCACTCTTCTTGCTTTTTTTTCTTCTTTGGGGAATTACTTATCAGCTACCGTTTCATAATTTAACAGCAAGTATCCATGACACATCATCGCGGAACTCCCTTTAAATCATCAAAAATGCACTTGTATGGGTGCAACAGCTCGTCTTTACAACACTATTGTAAAACAAACCTCGCAAAAACATTTCGCAGACGGCAATAGATTGTTACAGACTTACTTTCTAGTTTTTTGCCTCGTTTTCCTTAGTGTAGGATTTCATTTAGTAGTAGATAATCAGGGGAAACCTTAGCCCGCACAGTATAGCCACTGGCCAGCAGATCCGCGAAACTCGCACGATGGGACTTCTGAGGGAATTCATTCAGAAGGTTCGCGATGGTCCTCTCTGCTTTCTTCTTTGCTAGATACTCACGTAGCGTAGGTTCAAAATACTGAATACATTACGCACAGTACACAGTAGTATAAAGGGCACGTTCTGAAGCTGGGAAAAATTTTCGGGAAATACGACTCTAGAATTTTGCCGCCGAGGGTGGGGGGGGGGGCTGTCACCAACCAACTAATAGTTCCAACAGATCAAACTACGGCCAGGAAAGGCCAGGAGAACTTTTCGTCAAGAAAACTTTTTCGACTTTTTCAGGTTATAGTAAACCATTTGGTCGGCAGTGTGATCGGAGGCTCGCATTTTCGTAACGGCGATGATGCAACGATGACGCAAGGAACCGCACGCCAACTGTACCCTCAGTTTGATGTGAACAAGCTCATTTCATGCAATGTACGCGTCTGAGTTGCCGATGAATACGTGAACAAGTATCCTAGACTCGTGTGCACAACCCAATACATAAACCAAAGAAGGTCAAAAGCATTTTTTTGGCCGAAAAATTATCTATGGAGATAATCAATGGCCCTAGTCACGATTCTGACACAAAATCTTGGCGTCGACGCAAGTTTGCGCTAGTTAGCGCTGATCGTCCCTCATATGAATGTATAATACATAATGAGTTCACTGAGAGGACGATGTGGCTCCGAATCGGCGATAAATGGCAGCACAGCCCGGCTGAGCGCCAGTTGGTGATCAGGTCACTGACCAGCCTATAAAGATTAATGTTCAGCAAGTTAGCCTTGCTTAACGGTATGTGAAAATCGAAAGATTGAATAGCACCGACCTATGAGGCACTATCATTCAAAGTGTGCTCATGAAAGGAATTGATCCTAGTGGTATTCATGATTTACAGCGCATAGAGGCCGAAAACGGAGCAGTTTCTGAAGATTTCTTTCCACTTTATTCAGAGATGGGTAGGGAGCGCGCAGCGAAAATGAAGCTCACTTTTTAGGTGCTTGCATGAGCCCCTACAATATGCAGAGAATGGTATTTCAAAAGCGCACTACGCCCCGTGCGCCTTCCCATGTCAGTGGAACAGCGGTACTCTGCTGCAAAGAGACGCGGTCGGCACGGCGTTATACTTTTGGCCTAACGAGTAGTAGTGAAACCCAGATGAAACTTAAACGATTCAAACTCGGAGCGGGTTCTGGTCCGCAAACAGAGATGTTCTTCACTGAACTTTCCGTGTATAATTCTGTCTCTTCCGCCTCCATGAAAAGCAGAGTGTGGAACTGGTCTGTTAGTATGTGCGGGTCCAACCATTATCCTCTCGGCACATCCTGAATGTTCATGAGTTCCTCCCTTCTCGTTGACGTTTTAGGTGCTGCACAAAGTACTTGATCATTTTGACGACATCGAGTTGGCTCCACGGTAGATAAGTTTTTATCGGAGAGGACAGCGTCTAAGCGGCGTGCCGATGTGATCCTTTTAAGGAGCGTCTCGTTGAGGCTTCACGGAGAAACTCAACGGCAAGCGCACGCGTCGACTGCTTCCTGTTGCCGTAGCGATAACGCAGCGAAAAGGGAATAAGGGGCAACGCTGAGCCGCGGCAGTCCTAAGACAGTAAACTTTGGGGCACCTTGCCGATGACTGGTCAACCACAGTAGGACAAGATAGAAGGCAAGAATCAATGACCTAAGAGCACTGGGACATGGAAAACTGGTGAAAAATGCTAGTTTTACTGTGTCTAGCGATTGTACTCACCACTGTGCGCTTCCGCGCTACCGACTAAATGTAAAGATGGGCTAACAGAGAGTACCCCGATTAAACCACAGTGATGGCAGCGCCTGTCAGTATCCGGTCTTTCGCCGCACCATCGCAGGGACATCGCCCGACACCCACCGGGTGCCCTCCACCGGTGAGTTTTTGTCTCCCCCTATCTTGTTGGATGCGCTAGGGAAGCTGACCTTTTATGTGGTAGTGGTTCAGCTTCAGCTTTCTCCTGACGGTACTTGGGTATTAAATAGTTCTAGATTTCCTATGACAATTTTCTCAGCGAACTCATAAAGTGCTCTGTATCTCGTCTCCGGCCATTTTAATTTTTTTTTCTACGTGTGAAAAGTGAGCTAATTGAATTGGCTAGGTCGGTAGATCATCCGTAGCCTGAAAAAGCATGAATTACTTGGTGGTGGCTTCCATGCTTCTTTTTCTTCATACGCAGCGCTTCAGCAAATACCATCACTGTGTTCTAACTTGTACAAGACAAAAAAAAACCCAAGAGTTCGGCTACGAAGTCAACACTGATCACTGCAAGAAATCAACACATTGAAGGTCAAACCTTAGACTGAAACCGAACTTATCATGTCTCTTTGTTGTTGCGGATTGTGCCTGTCGTATGAATTAGAGCTCTCCCCGATAGCATTAAGCACCCCGCCTTAGGCACTTCCTTCTTTAGAGTTGCCGTCAATTTTTTTTCAAGTGAAGATAGTGTGACAAAATTCTCATCCATCATAAATTGTCCATCCGCTCCACGTCACTGCGCTGTCATCACTACCGACAAGACGGTCTCCATAGTGCGGGTAATATCATCAATGTTCTCCCCTGTGAGACGTTATAGCAGAAAGACGACAAGCAAGGAGGAACTACATACGGAGCATTCATTCGAAAGCAGTGGTGATAAGCTAAAGAAATGAGGACTGCGGCAGCGCATCACTGGCCATCACAGCTCTATCAACGTTTTGAGTAATCGAAGCAGATGGTAAATCAGAATAATTTCGTTGCAGAATGCGACAGTCGGCGTCGTTTCACGTTTCGTAACCCCGAGTACTTACTATCTACGCTAATTTGAACATGCAAACTTGCATGCACGTGCATGTGTTCACATGCATTGTTAAAGATGTGTCGGCCCACACTTGATCCAGCGATTCTATGAAGCTCCAGATAAAGGGTTCTCTACATTCAGTGGCGGTCTAAAACCAACGGAAAAACGGTTTTCCACGCACGACATTTTTCTTACCACGTTTCTTCTCGATTTGATTATTTTGATATGCTATACCTCCTAATGTTGCGAATGAAAGCAGTATCCTTGTCATAGGTTAAAATACCCAACGGCTGATATTCTTCCATAATGTACTTTTCGGACGATTTCGAAGCAGTCAGAAAGAGGAACTCTTCTGATCTTCGCACCGATTTTCGTTTTCCCTCGGCCCCGTATGCCCGAGGTATGGTCCCATAAATGTCAAGAGCTCGAATTCTCCGAAAATTCTCGTGGTACAGTGGTGGCGGTGTATGGAGATTAGGTGCACTCCAACACTGAAATGCGTCACCGCTGAAACAGGACCGCATTCGAAATTGCGTCGTTCTAAGTAACCATGTTTAGCCAAGTAGTCGTCTGGACGGGGGTGGGGTGGTATGGGAACCCCTCTCTTATGGGGTGGGAGGTCGCATTGACAGGCTAATTTTCCTCATTGATGCTTGACTCTGCATGGAAATCGGCAGGACTCACTGCAACGCTTGCTCCCTCCCTCAGAGATCTTGAGATGTACGACAGCATTGGAGCTGATGAAATTTTACGCAAGTTCTCCACCGAGAAACTGCAACCATGGAAGCAATTTCAACAGTGCCTAAGTTTCGACCAAATCGAGGCAGAACTGGAGCTCTTGTCTCAAAATCGGCGGTCTGGA